AAAGGAAAAAGGGACAGAGAGAAAAAAGGAAGGAAAGAGAGAGAGAGAGAGAGAGAGAGAGAGAGAGAGAGAGAGAGAGAGAATATAGAATGATTTTGGTGGAAATAAAACTTGTTTTGGAATTGGGTAAATAACACTAAACAAGAAGATAACATTTAGCAAACTGAATGGAAGTATAAATATCCATGTAGAAAGATGATGGAAAGGAATTATAAAGGTTGTAAGAATGTTGGAAAATTGTAAGGCTGCAGATATAAAATATGTAAGTAGAGAAATGTAACAGTTGTTTATGAAGGAGCTGTGAAACTTGTTTAATGTTAAGGTTTAAGGTTACATCTGTATCTGAGAATTGGAAGAATACTGGTATTGTTCCCCTACCAAAAGAAAAATATGGTTAAAGTAAATGCCAAAACTTGACCAAAAGGCTGTGAGAAGTGACAATAAGCACAATTTGGCACATGCAGTGCACTTTTTCTTGGATTTTTCAGCACTTTTTTTTCATTAAGAATTCTTAGAAATACAGACTATTTTGTAATGTATTAACAACAACGAAGGTGCAGCCTGATATCGCTTCTGCCTTTTTTTGACAATATAACTGCTTTTGGTTTTCATGTAATCTAAGAGAAACAATGAACAAGAATACATTGTAGATCAGTTAGTTAAAGATTAAAATATGTGCGGAACGATTCATATAACAAGATCATTTTTTGTGGTGTTTACAAAGGTACAAACACCTTCAGACTATTAATGTTCCACTCCTGAGATCAGCAGCAGACAATGTAAACTTTTCTTGCCTGCATTTGACTTTTGATATGCAGCCTGTTTATTTGGACATCAACCCTAAAAGTGGAAAGGAAAGCCGTGTGCCATTTTCCTACAGCTTTAAAGGGAAGGATTGATTAATGGGGTGTCTTCAACTTTACTAAACAATTGTGCTTTTCCCCCAGAAAATTATTATTGTGATGTACTAAGAGCTCCAACTCTTTTTCCCCCCACTTCTAGTCAAAAAATCCATAATAAAAAGTATGCCGCCTTAGAAAATGTTCGGTTGTGGGAAAAGAGCAGATAGCACTATGCATTTATTTCCATATACAGCATTGGCAGGAAGAATTCCACGCATACACAATGAGTCAGAAAACGAAGAAAAAGAATGCACAATAAGATCCTGGATAACTAATTAATTTTCCCAAGAATGTCAGGATTAGTACTTAGGATATCCTACTGGTTATGGTTGACCATCAATGTTTGAGTGCTAAATGCTGTAAGACATGAACTATGATTTAGAACTTATACATGTTTGTATTTAATAAAATCTAGGCTGCCTCTTGTAAGGAAGGAACTTGTTGGGGATGAGCAAGTTAGCAAGTGAATTAAATGCCACAGAACGTCAAAGGGAAATCAATATGTTTCCTCTTCCTGCCACCTCCCCTCCCCTTTTCCTGCATATGGCCAATTTTTAGTCATATGATATGTGCATCCCAAAAGTATGAAGTTGCTTCCCGTGTTATGTTTTCAGTATTCTTGTTCCTCTTCGCTTTAGCTGCTGATCTTTGCGTCAGTAATTGTACATTTGTGTCTATTTCAGAGTAATGACTCTTTACTAAAGGACTTTTACAAGCAAGATCTCTACTGAAAAAAAAGAACTGATCCAGTTGACCATATAATGGGCACCTCGAATGAAGAGATGGTCTCAGCGGAGCAGAACCTGAATCCACTCTGCTTTGAATGCGGCCAGCAGCACTGGACAAGAGAGAACCACTTGTACAATTATCAGAACGAGGTGGACGATGATTTGGTTTGCCATATTTGCCTTCAACCCTTGCTACAGCCATTAGACACGCCTTGTGGTCACACATTCTGCTATAAGTGCCTACGAAACTTTTTGCAAGAGAAGGATTTCTGTCCCTTAGACCGCAAAAGGCTCCATTTTAAATTGTGCAAAAAATCTAGCATCCTTGTTCACAAACTGCTCGACAAGCTCTTGGTGCTGTGTCCCTTTTCTTCAGTATGCGCAGAGGTCATGCAGAGATGTGATCTGGAAGCACACCTGAAAAACAGGTAAATAGTCAGACGATGGGCCTAATCAACTTTATTATGACGACTATCCTCTATGTTACTTGCCTACCTGCCTGCCTTTCTATATTTTGTTTCCTTCCCATTCTTGTCTCCTCTTTGAATGTTATTTAAAGGTGTTGATAAATGGATAGAAATAGATCAGCCTTGTGCTTCTTAATAATTAAAGTGAAAGGAGGGAGAAACTTATCTCTGGGACTATTGGTATTTTACAACTTTCTAACCCTATATACTCATTCTGTTTGGGTGAAAAATCATGTGACAAGGAAGAATCTTTCTCTCTCCCTTCTGATTGACTGAAATGTAGACACAATTGACAGCTAGAAAATATTCTCTAGTGTAGAATTGTCCCTTCAAAATGTGGATAACAGGGAGAATAATTGAGCTAGACTATCTAAATTTGTTCTCCTGTTAAGCAACCAATGGGGCACATCAATTAATTAAATTACTCTAAATTTTCTTTCTCTTTTGACCCTTTCCTGTCAAAAATAAGTAAAATCTTATTTTTCTAGAGTAAAAATCATGCTCTGGACTGGAGAGTAACAAATAGAAGGTGGTATCAAAGCTATGAACCTGAGGATTCCCACACAAAGAGAGATCTCTGCTCTACAAGCTGTTTGTAGGTCATGGAAAAAAATCCCATGGGGCCCAAGGGATTATTAAAGACAACATGAAATACAGAATAGGCTTTTGGTAGGTTCAGGAAAAATTGAATAATTGCTACTAGCTGTTTGGAGCTACTACTAGAGTGTAGCATTTACCTGATCAAACTGCTAATCCAGTATTAATTGTCTTCTTCCTTTTAAAAAAAGTGTCTTATTTCTTTACTTTTGGCTCTTCATTGGCTCCTCGTTCAACTTAGTACATAATTGTGGCAGAAAAAAACAGAAGGCCAGATGCTGTGCTGGAAAGTTTGATTACTCCAAACAAAGGCAGAGTTATAAATATAACAGACAAAGCAGATAGTCCATGTGGTTCACCCCCTCCCCAATCTCACCAATCCAACTTTGGGAAGCTAAAGGAATTTAAATACAATATGAGTATAATGTATATTAAATACACAAAGATTCCCAAGCACACCATTCACTAATAGCGTAGACTTGATTGCTCTCCTGGTGCCTGGGAAAACACTCAGGTCTGAAAGGTAAGCTGTCAGGATCAGCTGAACCTCGGGTGGTCTGGTGTTTCAGAGGGCAGGTGCAGCTAGAGCAATGGTCTCAGCCTACCTAATGCCATGACCCTTTAATACAGTTCCTCATGTGGTGCTGACCCCCAACCATAAAATTATTTTATGTTTTCTGTATTTTTTCAAAAGTATGTGTTTTCCGATGGTCTTAGACGACCCCTGTGAAAGGGTCATTAGACCCCCCCCAAAGGGGTCCCGAAGCACAGGTTGAGAACCACTGAGCTAGAGGAAAGGCATGGTTCCTGATCCCTTTAATTCCTCAATGTCGTGATGGCGAACATATGGGACACGTGCCACAGGTGGCACGCAGAGCCCTCTCTGTGAGCACGTGAGCCGTCGCCCCGGCTCATCTCCACTCTGCAGCTGATTTCGGGTCTCTGCTGCACATGCGCGGGGGGCAGGGTGCATATAGGTGAAGTGCATGCAGGGGTGCACTGGGGATTGCATGTGTGGGGGTTGCATATGGATTCGTGGGGCAGGAAGGGTGCGGGAGGTCACGTGCATGCATGGAGGAGTGAGGGGGTCATGCGCGCATGAGGAGTGGCAGGGCACACATAGGGGATTTGCAGGGGCAGGACACCCGGGGGGCGCATGCACATTGCATTATGGGCGCGTGTGCACGCTGTTGCGCCTGCGCTTTCAGCAAGTAGCGACAAAAAAGTTAGCCATCGCTGCCTTAATGCATACTATCTGGAGTATGTCCCCTCCTAAGCAACCTAATGAGATGGGGAGAAAGTATGCTAAAATACTGTTGTGTGCATAATGATGTCATTGAACGAATGCCACCATTATGTACTTTTGTTCCGCCATCTGATTTGCGTAACGATGTCACAAATGTCATTTTGCTCTGGTTGCGGACAGCTATGAAATCAGCTAAATATGTTTTTATTGCTGTCAAGACTTCATTTCTTGGGAGTGAGGCAGAAGATTTTGTAATGTGTTCGTTCCTTGACTTACAGAACATGAAAACAAAACAAAATCTACAGCTGCCTGGAGTAGTCAAAAAGCATGTAGATATGATCCTATCTTACCCTTCCTACCCTACCCTACCCTACCCTACCCTTCCCCTGCTACACCAGAATTCCTATGAGGATTACTTCAGTGGTGGGATTCAAAAAAATCTACTACCGGTTCTGTCGTCGTGGCTTGGTGGGTGTGGCATGGCATGGCTTTTGGCTGTGGCTTGTTGGGCGTGGCAGGGCAAGGATAGTGTAAAATCTCCATTCCCTCGCCACACCAGGGGAAGGTTACTGCAAAATCTCTATTTCCTCCCAATCAGCTGAGACTCCGGAGGCAGAGAATAGATGGGGGTAGGGCCAGTCAAAGGTGGTATTTAGCGGTTCTCTGAACTACTCAAAATTTCCGCTACCGGTTCTCCAGAACTGGTCAGAACCTGCTGAACCTCTGGGTTACTTCCTCTTCTGAACCTAAGACCAAGATCTTTTTTTTCTCTTTTCCTTTCCTTTTTTCTTGTCTTCTTTTTTTAAAACAAGTCATGGCAATAGGAAAGAGTACTGGAAGTACTAATCATTCTTAATAATAAATATTGGTGGTCCACCAGCAATCATTTCATATAGGAATCACCAAAGAAGGGGATATTTGTAGCTCAGGGTTGAACTGTGGAGTCCTTTGTGCTCTCTGAGCTTTGTTGTTTACAGAGGTTTTATTACCCAACTAGGTAAAAACATCTGTGTGACTGAATGTGAAACCTATAGTAGCTTGTCCTGCCAGTTTTGGGTGTGGCCTTCTCCTTGATAGTTGTTTTCTACTTTTAACAGTAACAGAGAGCAAACCTTACACACTCACCCACACTGATGATACTACCTAGTTGGGCAATGAAACCTCTGTAAACAAACAACAAAGCTCAAGGAGAACCAAGCACTCAACAGAAGTTGCAGAGTCTGAAGAAAATGTACATGTCTGAAGAAATTTGGAAGATCTGAATCCAAAGGACATCGATGGCATTGGCTATTTCTCTGGACAATATCAATATTGCAGCAACGGGCTTTCCTGTTATATCCAGATTATTTTCTTTTAATTATACTTCCCATCATTTCCACCCAGCATAATCAATAGTCAGAAGAGTGATCAAGCGACACCATATGGGGACGCTTATGTTACATTACTTTATGCAACTAAAAATAGTTATTTTTTTTCCCCACCCGAGCATCTGTTCCTTGTGTTTTTGATAATATAGCATTTTCTTCTCTAGGTGTGCTGGGGCTTCCAATCGAAGGGCTGCCTTGGAGAGAAGGATGAACAGCAAGTTGCAGGCAGCCACTGAAAGTGAAAATGAGAACGCCATGATCGATCGCCTGGAGTCCCACTCACCTGAAGCAGAGCACGCTGGCACTGGGATGACATCAGTGGAGCAGAACATGACGTCCGCGACAGTTTCGGTGTGGACAGATGAGTCTGGGGTTGATAACCCTGCTTTTGAGGAGAACATAGGAACGGAGAGTGAGTTTTATTCTTCTTTTAGTCTTTGGTTTGATGGATGCACTTTAAAGCAGGGGTCTCAAACCTTGGCAACTTTAAGACTCGTGGACTTCAACTCCCAGAGTTCCTCAGCCAGCCAAGGTTGGAGACCCCTGCTTGAAACGGTAAACATATATTTTATCCTGGCCTGCAAACAAATATCCCATTTTTCCTACATTTTATACTAATGTATTAATGCATGCATGCATGCAGTGGTGGGATTCAACTAATTTAACAGCCCTAATGACCACCTGTGTAGGTGTGGCTTGGTGGTCATGTGACTGGGTAGGCGTGGCCAGCACAACACAACAACTTGGTAAGGCCACACTTGGAATCCTGCATTCAGTTTTGGTCGCTACAATGTAGAAAAGATGTGGAGATTCTAGAAAGAGTGCAGAGAAGAGCAACAAGGATGATTAGGGGACTGAAGACTAAAACATATGAAGAACAGTTGCAGGAACTGGATATATCTAGTTTAATAGAAAGAAGGGCTAGGGGAGACATGATAGCAGTGTTCCAATATCTCAGGGGTTGCCACAAAGAAG